TGAACGAACACTGGTCGAACTGGAAGGACCTGTTTTTAACTGCTGTAAAAGAACGTATCCCTATCAAAACAGTTGGCGACAAGAATTCTCCGCCTTGGATTGACGGTGAAGTTCTGCATCTGATCCGTAAAAAATATGCAGCCTTAAAGAAATTTCGCTTGAACAAATTGCCAGAACGGAAGTTGAAGCTCCGCAAACTAAGTCAAAACATCAAATACCTAGTACGGTCAAAACACCGGCAATACTTAGCCAAAATCGAAGCGTCTTTCAAAGACAACCCGAAAGAGTACTGGAGTTACCACAAAGTGTTCATGGGCGGACGCTCATGCACTAACTCAGCGATCTGTTACGATAGTGAGGTGGCTACAAAACCGGCGCAGAAAGCTGAACTCTAAATAAATATTTCTGTTCTGTTTTTCTATCGGCTACTCCGGATGTAAACATAGATCCAACGAACAATTCACTTAGAACAGAAATGGAAATTTCTCAAATACAAGTGTCAGTTGATGATGTGACAAAGCACCTGATTGGGCTTGACACCTCAAAAGCTTGTGGACCCGACGGCATTCCAGCGCGCCTACTAATAGAATGTAGCAAACAAATTGCTCCGAGTCTCTGTGGGATCTTTAATCAGTCTCTTAGTAGCGGTCAAATTCCTACCGAGTGGAAATCCGCGGACATAACACCCATTCACAAGTAAGACTCAAAAGAGCCTGCCGTAAATTACCGACCCATATCACTTCTTCCGATTGTCAGCAAAGTCCTGGAACGCTGCGTTTTTAATTGCCTGTAGGATCATGTTAATAACGTAATTACCCCTTTACAACACGGGTTCCTAAGGAATCGCGCATGTGTCACCCAGCTACTATCCGTTCTTCATACCATCGGCCGAAACCTGGATAAAAACATCCAGACGGACGTAATTTACCTTGACTTCGCCAAGGCGTTTGACACTGTAGATCATAACGTCCTTCTTTCTAAGTTAAAAGCCTACGGGGTTTCAGGTCAGCTTCTAACCTGGTTCGCTAACTACCTATCTGGCCGACTCCAACGAGTTGTTATCGATGGCGCAACTTCGCAATGGGCCCCTGTCACTTCTGGGGTCCCCCAAGGCAGCCTTTTGG